AAAAAAAAAAAAACCTAACAAATCATCTAATACTGGGAAAGTAAGTTATGAGCCAATTAATTCACTAACAATGTGATTGATTTAGCAAAACCTACTTGTTTTTAATTACCTATAAAATGATAAGTACATACACACAAAATACTAAAAACATACACACATATTTCCCGAGAAAAAGGGAAATATCATAACATTTCTAGAGATAAATTGGTGTTTATATTTTATTTTCAACTTTTGTGGTACTGAGGATTTAACCCAGGTTGCTCTATCATTGAGCTAAATCCCCCTCCCTTTTTAAATTTTATCTGGAGACAGATCTTGTTAAGTTGTTAAGGTCTGAGAACTTGAAATCCTCCTGCCTCAGCCTCCTGAGCCACTGGACTTTAAGACATGCTAGTCTATTTGAATTATCTTAAAATCATGGTAATGAATTATGCTCTTAAAATAATTGAAGTAAGAATAAGAGGAGTAGTATTCAGACCATAGCACTATTCAAACTAGCTATCCATGCCATGGATAAATTACTTTGATGATTCCTTTAAGTAGAAATCTCTCTAGAAACTCAGTTCAAAGAGCCTGGCCTTATTAATAGCAATCTCAGACTACAGCTCTCTTCATAACTAAGCCACATATTTTTGCTCATATGAGCTGCCACTATCTAAAAAGGCAGGGAATTTTAATACTCTAAATCTTGTCAGAAAGATTTGATTTTTAATAGGAAATAAACATAAACTGAGGCTTAAGCCTGGGACATAGAATAGGAGTTTAGAGTAAAGAAAAAAATTCAGTGTGGTTCAAGTTTGCTATGAGTCCACAATAGAGGAAATAAAGCTGAGGTGGGAACAGTTCCTTGGGAAAGCACCACATGAAGGAGGAAACACCAAGAAACAAGGAGACTAAAAGTTACTCAGTCAAGGTCTAAAGCAGAATAAATTTAGAGTTGTTCTAAACCTTCTAATTTCTGTGTTTAACCCGTTTGGGTCCACTATCACAGATGTGGCACACCTATAAAAACTTAAATTGAGCAACAAACATACCACTATAGTAGGTATTAATTTGTTATGTTAATTTGAGCTAATTATTATGTATTTAGAGTTCTATTCTTTTGAAAACAAGTAGGTGAATTATTAGAGCATTTGAATATACATATAGAGGATAACATATGTTATATAAGACATATTATATGTTATATATAATATATAGTATATACTATATATTATATATACACACATATATGTATTTTAATACACATATTTCCACATATATATGAAAAATATATAAAGGATATATAAGCTTTAAGTTATGAATTTCAACCTATTTTAAAGCAATTGTATCAATTTCATTGAAATATTCACAGAATTGCCAACTTGGGACTTATTGGGTTAAAGGACCATCTCATTCCCTTTAGTGCTAGGGAACTAAAATATGTAAGGGATGTGAGATGTTCATGTGAAGTCCTCAGGACACTGTCACATCTGAGGAGTCCAGACTGACACCTCCACTTCTGTCTTCTCAGTATCTACTCTTTAGCCTTTGTAGAATCTACTTACTTTTAGTTCCTTTAGCTTGTCCACTTTCTGAGTCATTGCAGCAGGGCAAATGATTGTTATCTCTGTCATTTCCTGCTCTAAGGTTGAAATCAAGATATAAAAGGAAGATCTTTTTGATAATATTTTGTTTTTCCACAAGATATAAGGCACATATTCTACTAATGATATTCTATATCATTTTAAGTCACGTGGAGTGAAATGATATTGAAATAATGCATACGGGTAGAAACCTACTTCTTTTGCCATCCTATATCAGAACTCATCTATAAAAATTGATATGGTTTTTCCATGAGAGTAGGAATTGTGGAAGGAGTTTGAAAGGAATTTGTTATTGCTAAAAGCATCTCTAGGTCTCTCCTCTCACTAGTTTAGTGCTGATTTTATAAGTAGGCAGCTGAGATGTTGTCCATTTTAAGGTCTAATTTAACAAAGAGACAGTCAATGTGGATACTGATTAGCTTGAAGGGGAGAACATCGTTGTTGGGGAAAAATGTGTTCTTTGTTTTCTAACTTTGATGAATGAGTATCAAATATAGATTCAAACTGACGTTCCCTAAAATGTTGTGGGTTAGAGTTAACTGATAAAAATGTTTACATT